ATTGACGAAATTAATTTAAGGTAAAAATGGTGATCGGGTATTTTTGTTATTTTTAATTATTAGGTATTTCCCCAAAAGTCTCTGAGGTGTTTTCTCTTCTATTTAATTATTCTTGTTTAATTGTTTTGATCATGAGGCATAGCCTCGGCGCCAGTTATTATCAGCGAATTGAAGAGGTTAAGGTTTGGAAGCAGGTGGCTGAAAAAGATCATATTCAAGGAATTAGTTCATTTCCTAAGTGCAGTGCAAATGGTTGGAAAAACAGCAGGATGGAGACTTCCAGGTTGGTAAAGATGTTGACAATATAAAGACGGAGAGCAGATACAACACTGGATACGTGTCGCCATGCCTGAACCAGTCCAAAGGACGACAACGCTGTCAATCAAGGAATTCAAGAACTTATGTCAAAACCTCTCTTTTTTCATTATTCTTTCTTATTCATTTATATCTTCCAACTTTCTTTCTATGCTTTAAAGAAAAAATGTTTCTGATTGCCACAGAAACTCAAATATTTGCAAAAAAAATTATTTGCTTCGCGACCTTTACTAGTCTGTTCCTTGGATTCAATGATTCTTCAAAGAATGCATCCCCTCTACACAAATTTACTTGCATTGTTTGACGCTATCTCAGAATTTATCATTTTTGAGTATTTGTATGTGTTTGTGTGTTTTCCTTAAGGGCGCACTTTAATCTACATCGTGTATTTTTCGTTATCAAACTGAATGCCGCTCTGGTGAAATTTGTCAGACCAACCTTCCTTTGAAATTATTGCCTGCATTTATGAAATACGAAAATCTTGCTAAATTTACCCGATCAATTCAGACTTAAAGGCTGCGAATAAGCGCGAGGTGATGACAGTACTCACCAAGGAAAACGCCTTTTGGCGAATTTCTTTACGATTATAGACTAACTGTTTACAGTAAACTCAGCTGTACTACACGCCACTTGAATGTTTGACCTAAATTGGTTTTCATTTTGGAAGTAGTGTAGAACAGAAGATAAAACTGGTGCCGGTATTGTACTCCGAATGCAACCTGCGCCTAAATCGGTAACCACCATGCCACGTAACTGGTCAGGAAACAAAGTTTCCATCCTTTGGTATCACCATAACGATGATCTCACTATAAGGATCACCCAGTTCCTCGAAAAACGATTTCCTAATATTTGAAAATGAAAGTAACGCCACTTACATGGCACAACTCATTTCTTTTCCTAAGTTTACTGACAGCAATCCAGACTGAGCTCTCTCAAGCGGCTTTCAAGGAAGACAAAACATCTAAAACGACAGGTAAAAGTCACCAACATCACAAGACGGACGTGAAGAAGGAAAAACGTTTCATGAACGAGCATTTTCCGAAAGGAAGAGTTGTTTATTCTTTCGTGACGGATAGGAACCGATACTTGGCAAGAAGGCCGCACCTGTATCGAGCTTTCGTTGTTCGAAGTCCTTTAAGAGTGCAACAATCGACAGAAAACGCAAATGGGCGTCAAAACATTCCTTTCATGGAGGTGGAACCTACATATCATCAACCGTTTGTAAGAGTTCGTCCCATTTCGCGACCAATTTACTACTTACAAGATACACCTGATGAACAAGAAGCAGAGTTCGAGGATCCTTTGAATGAACCTGTTGCTTTGATGCCTGAGGAATTTCCAGGTGTGATAAATTCGTTGTTGTATCGGGGTCAATATCGCGACGTAAACAAATCGCCACTTTTAAATACAATTCAATGCATTTTTTGCCGTGCAATGACAGGTCACACCTAATTAAAGTGAATTGCAATTGAAGAAGTACTTTCTGACTAATTTTATTATTTACTTTATTGATTTTCGGAGGCAAGAGAACATTGATCAGTCGATTTGTCCCAAGTCTAACAGCTTTACCTTTTTAATTTTCTTTATAAATTTTGGAGGAATAGCGACTTTTTTTACTGAACTGATTCGAGATAAACTTTACTTACAGTAAATCTCGACAGCTGCCGTCCCAATCCGTGTTATAATGGAGGACGGTGCAGGAGACTCAGACATGGAAGATTTAGATGTGTATGCCATAGAGGATATGGCGGCAGATTATGCAATGGTATGTATCTTTGTATTCAGTATATTATATTACTTTAAAATTCAATTGTGGAACTAACTCGACGGTAGTGACCCGCCTCTCAATGCCACACTTGCTACTGTGGGTAGTAGTCAAAGTCGATGGGGCCAAGAATAAAAGGCATCTAAGAGTTTTTTTTTTTTTTTTTTTTTTTTTTTTTTACATTACTGTAGAAAAGAAGTAATTTGCACACTATTCTCATAAAAAAAGATATACGTTTGTTGATATCTTATTCTTCCCTTCGCCTATCGTTGGCTGGCGTCGGATTTTTGGAAACTTGTCCCGACTCTATCACGATCAGACGTCCTAGTTCGAAAGATTTATTTAAGCGGGCAGCGTCACGGTTGACACATGCGCATTGCGCCACTAAATATTGTTTGTTCGTTTGCTATGATGTCTAGCCGTGATGGCCTTAGAGCGAGCAGTGGTTGCAGACGACTCTACACTTCGCAAAAGACACCCGATTTTCCTACAAATCAGCCAAATGCAGCATTAGTTAATCATCCTACAATAATTTCAAGTCAAATCACCTACGAACGAAGCGAACTTACGGGAGTGGAATCTATTCCAGTTTCTGTGTCCATAACTTAAAAAAAACCAAAACCACTAGAACATATGTTGTAAATGTAATAGAAGAGAATGAACCAGTCCAAGAATGAGAGTATTTGAAGGCAAATTAGCAGGTATTTTGCCTACAGATTGACACTTAACAAAATCAAGATGGCGGACAGCTCGAAAATGTGTCGAAATTCAAGCGTAGTGTTGCGCATGCCCCACCGTGACACTGCTCCTTTAAACTAGTAGTGTCAAATGAGCTCTTCATTCATAGTACAGGACTTTAAATTGGTTACTCTAACATACTCAGAAGTCTTTCGCTATAATTGTTGGCTGTATCATTTTTTTTACTTCGTGCACAAGTCTTTCTACGATCACCATTCAATTTTTTTTTTTTTTGCACAGTACTACGAACAAAATGCAAACCGAACCCTTGCATGAACGGGGGAACCTGCACTCAGCTAAATGGGGGCTTCGAGTGCACATGTTCATTTGGCTACAAAGGCGAAACATGCAGTCGTAAGTAGTAACGTATATGTGTAAGCTGCCATATAAAATTAAGTACAAGAGAGGGAGAACATTTGACAAATAACTTGTCTATAGAATTTAAAAAGTTCCAGAATTGTGGGCACCAACAAACTTTAATTTCAAAAATTTAAATGGCTCTATTTAGCCTAACCAAAGTCCCTAGAAAAGTGTTCAAAGCTGTGTTCTTAGGTATAGTGGCAAGAAACATCAAGTTAATCAGCCTTACTTTAGCGTAGACCCTTAAACTCTTGGAGTGGCTAGAATCTTAAATCCCTTTACAGTATCAATATGCACCTTAGAACATATTAATATTTGGAATGAACTTTATGTAGGCACCATTATCATCGTCATTTTACACGAGGTGACATGAGAGAGCAAAGAATTATAATTTCTGAATCAATAATTTGTCAATGTTTCCCCCTTCAGGTTAGCAGTCAAACTATTACTTTAAATAAAAAGGGTATGTTGATAACATTTCTGCACTTAAATAACAATTTTGGGTTTTGGTTCTTAGAGGAAGCCAAGTGTGGAAATAATCCGTGCCAAAATGGAGGCTCATGCACCGAGTTGGACGCCGAATTCCAGTGCAGCTGTGCTCCGGGGTATCGTGGCAAGAAATGTCAAGGTAATTAACCTCACTCTAGAGTAATCTCTTAAATCCTTGGAGTGACTTGCATCTTAATTCTCTCTGCAGTATCACATCTTAATCAGACAGTAATGACATGAGAATATCGTAGATGGTGTTTAAATTAAAGATATCACGGTTAAACACATTTTCCTTGCTAATTCCAGAGGAAATGGATCGTTATAAAATGTTCACACTAATTTTCGCGTGTTAAGCATTAAAGATTTCAAGCAGCTGGAGAAAGAGCTTTTAGCTGTGTAGAAATAACAGCCAGCGAGAATGACCGAGAAAAAGACGCAGCCTCATTAGCACTCGCCAATGCTGCGTCCACCTAACGTAACCAAGCTGGCGCATCCTTAATAAGCTGACTTTCTTTATCATGAGTCGGAGTGAAAAAATAAAAAAAAAAGGGGGGTATTCTATGCGACAAGTTTCACCGACTAATTCATTAGATGAATATCTTTATTAGCCTAACAGCAACAAAACCGTTTGTCGCAAGAAAAGCTGTTGCAGACCAACCTCCTTGGTTTTAATGTCGTAATTTTTTTTAAATCCTCTCACAGAGATAAGCTACTGCTATAAAACACCCTGCAAAAATGGCGGAACTTGTACTGAAACAGACACTGGTTTCGAGTGCATTTGTCCATCACAATGGAATTGTGTCGACTGCAGCTGTAGCGGTAGGTTTCTTATTTCCGGTGGTCTGTTGTTTTGTATTGCTTCCGGTTTGTGAATTCATTTCATCGATATCTCGGTTTTTTTTCATCTTTCATATCACTTATAAATCAATAATATCTTTTTTTTTTTTTTCATTTTGTAGCTGTTACCGGTGTAAAGCATTCTCTGGATAACTGTTTTCCAAACCCCTGCCAAAATGGTGGCACCTGTTTTTCCACTCATGATGGGTTCAAATGTCTCTGTATGCAAGGTTACAAGGGAAAGTCTTGTGAAGGTACAAAGACTTCTAGGTGTAATATTTCCATGGTATATTTCGTCCATTTATACAAGTAGAAATTAAACCCTTCCTAATCATTGATTGAAAAAAGACAAAAAAAAATAACAGTTCAAGGTGATCATCTATTAGTCATCGAAACTGGAAACAGTTGTGCCTCATGTATTACAAATTTGAAATCGCTTATCGAAAGAAATATTTGAGAATTAAGCGAAGTTTGATTAAGTTCATTAACTTTAAGCTCTTTTCAAACGTGTATACGTTCAAGAGAATTTCTGAATCGAGGCCAAGTAGCTGTGATTATCTAAAAAGTTTAATTGCTATGCCAGTTGTCCTATCTTTGTTGGCAGTGATCGAATATTGTAACACCGAACCATGCCTTAATGGTGGAACATGTAAAGAGACAGCAACGAGTTACATCTGCCTTTGTAAAAGTCGATTTCGAGGAAAAAACTGCGACGGTAAGTAGAAGTAGTTCAAATTTGATTTTGCTTTTAACATTCAAAACGCAATTTTGCATATATCTTGTCAAAATGTTCAATGACACCTCTATTTTGTCCGTGAACGCCAGCCGCTCTTTATCCTCATAAAGCGTGATGAAATACAAACTGTCAGTTACGTTTTGGGCCTTGCCTGATTTTGCTCTTTATCTTTTTATCTATTTATTTACAAATTCCGAGAAAAAGTTTTCATCATTCTTAAAAACCTACCACTACAATATTTGACAAATGCACACTGTAAAGTTTTAGAGACAGCTTCCTATATATTGGAAAATCCCCAGTCTGAGATGGTCTGCCATTACTATGATTAATGTAATTAATTGATTGTGTTATTGGTTTATTCAATTCATTCCAGTGCAGTCTTTGTGATTTGCTAATGTAGGTCTCTAATTACAGTCGTGCGACTCCAGCCAACTGTCTGACCTCCCTGTTCGATTACAACCCTTAAGAATTATTAGTCAGAAATTAGGCAGTTAATTTACTAAATCATATTTAATTAATTGGTTTTGGTTAATTATGAGAAATCCAACACAGATACAACGTTGGACAAAAATAAAATTCGCTCACTAGTTCTTTAAGTATGAAATGAAATCTTTTCAGTGGAGAACCATTGCCGACCAAAAAATCCATGTCATAACGACGGTCTATGTGTAGAACTGGAAGATGGTTATAAATGCAGGTGTAAGATCGGATATCGCGGAGTCAACTGCGAAGGTATGATGTCTCATCAACCCTTGAACTCTCAGAAGTGATTAACATGCAACTTATCCCCATGATATCCATGCAATAGCCTGCAAACAGGTTATGAGAATACTCAAACTTATCGGGTAGAGGTTGTTATCTTGATCTGACACCAAATTCTCATAGCTAGTTTACAGGAAATTGTGTAGCTGCTAGAGGGGAGAATTTACAATCGGATTTGGGGAGTTAAAGGGTTAACGTGCCAATCGATCACCTGTGTGCATCTCAAAACCAAGGTTTTTAGTCTTTCTATAACGGCCATTCATCGATAAAGGGGTCACAAGGCCAGATTTACGGTATTTCGCTTATAAAGAGTTTACAGGGAATACAGACTTCTTTAATTTGAGCATATTTTGAATATTTCTGTGCTGTAGTAGATATATATATATTTGAAAGCTATGATATGCACGAGTACCTGATTTTCAAAAGCCAGAGCCTCTGAATACTTTTCCCTTTTTCCTACAAGAAAAGGAATATTGCATTCCAAATCCCTGCAAAAACGGGGGAACCTGCACCGCTGAACAACAAGGATATATGTGCTCATGTCAGCCTGGCTTCAGAGGGGAAACATGTCAAAGTAAGTCAAGTCATTCGGTGACGATAATTCGATAAACTCGATCATCCTTTCTAATGCAGTAGAGGAGATTGTGGATTCAAAAACATATTTTCTTTCGTTTTGAAACAGTTCAGGAAATGTGCGCCTCCAATCCATGTCTGCACGAAGGAACATGTATAGAAATGGATAACAATACATTTAAGTGTCTCTGCATGGCAGGGTGGAAAGGAGAACACTGTCATGGTATGTCCAGACCACCAACGTAGGCGACCAAAGTATAGTGTAAGGCTAGCACTTATAGTATGGCGTCATTTGAGTTAACATATGACCACAAATTTGATTTGGTATGGTCTGGTATGGTCGACTCTGTATTTACCTCTCTCCCTGGTTTTTAGCCATGCCAAGGATCGTTTCTTATTATTTATTTTATGAACGGAAAGCAAACGAAGACTGGTACGCTACGCTATCTGTGTATCTGAATGGGTTCTCGTTCAGTTAAGAACCGATTTGAGCGATCATAAAATAACACAAAACCTATGACTTATTGTTTAACTATAATGACTTATTACCATTATTCATTATTATTTTAGATAAGGATCTTTGTATTCCAAACCCATGCAAGAACGAGGGTCATTGTGAAGCACACGGATTCTCTTTCCAGTGTCACTGCGCCCTTGGCTTTAAGGGAAAGAGTTGCGAGGGTAAATTCATTCATTTATGAAATGTTTCTGTTGTAGTCAGGGCTCTTGAATACATTATTTCCTACAGACATCAGTTATACCCAACAATATAGGAAGGAACATAATATCTTTATTATTGCTACAGGAAATACTGATAGACACTTTAAACAATATTTTGAAGTGCAAGCAGCAAATAGCCATGACGTGATGAATCACATTATCTGCAGTTTTAAAGATTGGATACAGAACTATACGTCAGTTTAGTGCCGAGACTATTTTAATTTGGAATTTTAATTTTTTTACATATCGAAGGCTCATGCAAGTTGAAAGTCGCGAGACCAACGTTGTCACAAACATCCGTAATAGTTTAACTTTTTTCGTGCAGCAAAGGATCCTTGCAGTCCGAACCCATGTCACCATGGTGGCCACTGTCTTAGCCATGGTGAAGTCGATTATGAGTGTGAATGTGGAAGAGGATATACCGGATTAAAGTGTGAGAGTAAGTTCACGTATTTGACACAATGTTTACGGCTGCTGCACACTGTGTGGAATGGTAAAAAAAAGAAATGGTTATTCACCTTTTCACGCGCCTGGCACAACGAAAAGAAAAATTATGTCTATGAACAGAATAAGAAACTAGAAATTTTGCAATTTCCTTGTCCTATTTACTCAGTCGTTGCTTTCGACCTGCTTATCCCTGCAGCATGCAAGATGCTTTCACCTAAGAATTTGGCAATGGCCTTTCATTCTATGTGGTAGATCAGCGGTAGATTATCGGAGTGCAAAATCCAAAGGTTTGGGACTCATTTCCTTTGCGGGGAAAGAGGAGTATCACTCGATAATCGAGCTCCAAATTTAGTTCGCAGTTCCCTTCATATTAAAAAAAAAAAAAAAGTCCTTTTATAGGATTACACAATTACTGGTGAACCAGTAGTTTCCATTGTGGTCCTTGCAAACAAATGAAACAAATGGTCTAAAATAAACATAACATCATTAAGAACATCATTAAGAACCCCAACCGGCCGGAGGCAAACCAGTTAGGGTCAGTCGAATCCCGGTGGGATACCTAAGGTTATTACCCTTAAATAAAACCTCATTAGTATTCTAATTACACTTGTTGTGTAGGCACAGTAAAACGACGCGTTCTTCCAATGATAACACTTTAATTACATGTGAAATATGAGAGTGACTCGAGTCGAAGGTCACAAAACGGTCAAAGCTAAAGAAAAATGAATCGAATGACAAAATAAACATAAAGTATTACTAAAAGGGAACAGTTGGACAAAAATTTACATACATTCTGGGCCAAGCGAAGTAAAGAAGACGTTGACAAAATAGCCATTGCACACTTGAAAAACACGTGCGAGAAACTGAAGCCTTTTTGGTCATGTGACCAAGTGTGGAACTATGTAAAGGGCCACGAGGTGTCCAAAAGGCAAGAAAACCTAGACAACGACAATATAAAAACAAAGAAAAGAATGTCGCATCCCAGTGTTTAGACTGAACAACACTTTCATAAGTAGGTGCTTATTTTATAGGACGTAGAAATTTGACACAAAACCGTGAATCAAAATGCTCGTTCTGGATATCTGCAAAAGTTTCATATTCGATAAACATCTTTCTGTTTGCCTCATTTTCTAAATTCCCCGATCCATGTTACTCATCATGAAGGGAGCAAAGTGCTTGAAAAAATGAAGATATACATTGTTTTCCATTTTTGTTTGATGACATAAAATATAGATATCATTCTGAGCTATTATATAATATTTATTTTTGGTTCACTCGGTCGCGGCCTTTTTTTCATAATTTCAGGAGTAAACCCTTGTTACCCAAACCCTTGTAAATATGGAGGAACTTGTCAACTAACAACAGATAGTTTCACGTGTAATTGCCCTGTTGGAAGAGTTGGAGAATTCTGCGAAGGTAGCAAACCATTTCTACCATTAGTTGAGCTTGGGTGACGTTTATTACATGCATAAACAGCTGATCGAGGGCGATCCTTCTTGTTTTGCGGTGTTCTGTTCTCTTCCTTTTCATTTCATCATTAAAGAAAGTATCTTATTTCATCATTATCATTGTGTTTGCAACCATCATGAACATTATTATCATCATACTCAGTATCACAAATGAAATTTTTTGTCTTTCGGAAAAAATACCATCGATAGGTACTTCCCTTGGAGAGACGAGGATGATACTGAATGAAATTTATAACATAACCAAAGTAAAGCGCGCGCTCTGATTGGTCAATTTAGCGTCCCCCATTTGCCCATGGGTGTACGCTGCTGACGTGAGCAAATGCAAAGACTATTTTTCCGCGCGCGCTTGTTTTTTTCCGGTCACGTAAGATTTGTTAAATAAAAGGGAACTCTTTAGCTACAATGTATCAATGTTATGTTATAAAACAAATGGTAAACACCACAGCGTACACTATTGAGTTATGGATGCACTTGGGAGGTTTGCTAAGCACTCAAGAAGCTAGAGTCGCTCTCGGCTATCGCCTCGAGCGACTCTTACGCTTCTTTCGTGCTTAGCAACCTCNAAAATTTCAAATCTAATTTATCTATTTATCCCTTATTTGGCAGAAGCAGACTTCAGGCCTTTGAAGAATATCCCAACCGACCACTTGAACGTTGAGCATGATGTAATAATACCTTTATGAATAGGATACCAAGGACTACGTGGTCCTTCTTGATAAATGTGGTCCTTCTACTTCGCTGATAACTTCCTGGGCATATAAGACAGAAACTTAATCGGTGTAACTTGAAATTTTGCCTTTGCAATTTTCTAACTTTACGCTTTCTCCCTATATTTAGTTTCTTTTGCCCTAATATTGTCAAACTCCTGGTTTATTTATATTTATCTATATCAGATTTTGTATTTGGCGAAAAGATAAACGGATCTTTTCGTAAGCTCAGGTTATTGAGTTATAAGGTGCTACTCATTATCGCAAGTAGTGTTAGATTAAACGGTCATCGGAAATATGCGGCAGACATATTTTTAAGCAAGAACTGTTTAAGCACGAAATTTCTAAACTTAAACTGGAATAACAGAAAGAACCATGATTCCAGTCCGAAAATATCATGCTCAATCTCATCTATGAGGATCTAAGGTAATTTTGGTTTTATCAGATGAGTTGGTAATTGGCCACAGTAAAGAGTTTTTAAGACTGACGTTTCGAACGTTAGCCCGCCGCTGATTACTCTGACAAAGGGCTGAGGTTTGAAACGTCAGCAAAATAAAATCTCTATAGTGGCCAATATACATTATCAACCTAGTTAATAAAACCAAATTATCTTGTCTTTCCACCCGCAGACGAATCACCGCAGTTTCTTTAGAAAGCTATCCTGTTTTATTCATATGAGTGCCGAAGCTCATCTTTGTATATTGTGAGGATATTGAATCGCCAGCTGTATTTAACCTAGTCATTGGCTTTGTGCAAAGAATTTGCATAAAGCGATGAAAATGGTGTCAAGATAGGAATAAAAATGATTTTAAAATTCGCTTTATTTTGTGTACACTTGTTACTTCCATTTCCGTTAAAACTTTAAAGGCCGGTTGTCTGAAAAAAGTTTACCATTTCCCACACACCAAGCCTATGTAGAAGCATGAGAATCTCGTACACATAATCAAAGCAAGTCATTTCTGCACCCTGAAAGGTATCTCCAATCCTTCGCAAAATGCAGACGAATGATTTAAGAACATGAAATAAATACCCCTTAATATCCCACGAATATAACAAATCGTTTGCGCCAGCAAGGCTTGCAGTATATCTGCTTCATTTTCTTTTCGTTGACCCAACACTCATATTTGACAACAATCGAGCTGCCTCGTCAACTTATAAGTAAATTTTCACCCTGGGGTACGGGGGCAGAAAAGATTCCAGATTGCTTTCTGTTCCGAATGTAAGATCAGTCTCTGTGTGAGAAAATCCAACGGAAAGGGTGCAGAAAATTGGATCTTTCTGTTTAGCAAACGGACAAAGACCCTTCTTTTCAGTGTTTCTTACACTTAATAGTGTTAAATATGGATCAGAGTGAACCGTTACTACAAACACCCTTTTCCTGTGTTGTTTGAAAACCGTTATTATGTGTTCGGGTAAAGACAATGTCCAACAAACTACTAAACAGTGGCCAGTTTCTCTTCCTGCGAAGGACGACCTTTGGAAATATTATACCTTGCGAGTTACATCAAGAAACAAGTTAGTCAAACTTGAAGCCTAGAACGTTCAACGTAGTTCATAATTCTTCCCTTAGGCCTACAAGTCTCCACATGGCTTAAAACCTCCGCTCGCCAACTATTTCTAAGACATATTCCGGGAAATGTGACTGTGAAATTAGTGCATGTACGACAGAAAAAAGCAAAACAAAACAATTAAGACAGTCATAAAGCGCGTTTTTCTCAACGAGTTTTAATGAAATCTTTAGTTATATATAGCAACTGTCCTGATAAATAGGGTCAAGGGTGAAACCCCATCCCTCCGCATCAGTTCGGAGATGTTACATCTTGATCGACCTCTATTCAAAGTTAATTGCGGTCTTCAAGAAGTGCATTCTCGGAACACTGGAAATGTTTCAAAACTCAATTGGCATCTTCCAATTGGCAAACTGTACCTATAAGAAATATCTCTGTGTAATTCTCTAAGAGGTAGATAAAAAACTGTATTATTTTAAATTAAGCTTACTTATGTCTAAAGTAAAAAGGGGAAAATGTAGGTGGCTAGTCTGTTTGCTTATCTCAAACCAAGCCTAAACCAATAATTTATTTATGAATCGAAACCATTGACCTAAATTGATTAACAAGTAAAGTTCATGGTGGCCAATTGCAAATCAGAATTTGTTTGTTCTTGTACGTAAACAGAAAGGTATGACCTTAATCAAGAATTCTATTGCGAGAATTTTCCTCTTAGAAAACCGTTTAAAATGAGGCCGCGGATAGCAAGAATTTTCTTGGGAACTGCATTATTTGTTTTTTTATTAAGGGAAATCGCCGCCAGACCAGCGGACGAACAAGGATCCAACTGAAGAAAGCTGAAGGAAAGAAGGGGAAAGACACAACAAGACGGACTAAAAAGGAAACAAACAAAGCTTGAATTACACAACTCTTCAAAAGGACAACATAGAAAAACACGGGTCAATAAGTCACTGAAGAAAAAGCAGACTCTTTCACCTTTGAAAAATGACAACAGAGAGAGAAAAAGACAGTTTATAATGCGCCCTTCACATGCTTTCGGTCACTCGTATATGTTTATGCGTCCGCCACCCATGACCCAGAGAACGATCGTAACAACTCGTATTCCTAGACCACCAATGCCGATACCGTATAACCCGTTTTTTGGTCGGGGATTCTTCGGTGGGATGCACCGTTCACATTCCCCTTTTTACGATGCAATGGCACAAATGTATGGCGACGAAGACGAAGAAGAAGAAGGTAGGTTTCATATTTACTGTAGTCATTGGTTTCGCCCCTTGGCTGCTCGCATGAAGATTCATCAATTGTGAAACCAGTTAAAGGTGGCAATCAAACTGACACCTAAGATCGTCGGTCTGTAAAGCGTGATAAAGTTAATCGGCAATATTTGAATAATTTCAGTAGTTTACAAACTTTGATGTTGGTTTTGGCCCTTTAATAAAGGAAGAGAAGAAAATCAAACTGAATTAAGCCCTCTAGCCACTTCAGTATTAATATTGTCCTGTTCAAATCTAAGGGCAGGATTTTAATCAGTTCATAGTGCCGGCTTTTAGGTCGTTAAAAAGTTATTCAGAAAACACATCAGATCGACCTTTCAGTTCACTTTTGCATTGCTTAAAAGTAAATGCCAATGCTACTCAGGTCAAACAATCAGCTTTTTATTGGAACACTTAATACCTGTGAATTTCGTATGAAGCAGCGGAGAACATTTGGTGGTCTGACAATACGACAAATGCCAGTAACAATGGCATGTAGGAATAAAATTGCATCCATTTAAACGATCAACCCCCTGCAACTTGATATGGTTTCGGTTCAATAGGAGAGAGCAGAGATCATAATAACAATAATAATAATAATAATAATATAATAATAATAATAATAATAATAATAATAATAATAAAAACAATATTTACAGATGATATCACCAGCTAGCACTAAGTTAATTAGGGTGGTCCTCTATCTACATTACTAAAATTTCCTAAGACTTAAAGACTGATGGAAGATTAAAAATTTAAAATTACAGGAAGAATATATTATTTACAAACAGTTCCAGCTACATATTTTTTAAACTGTTCTAGGCTATAGTCTCTAGCTGCTACAGATAAACTGTTCCAAGCGTGTACTCCTCTGTATTGGAAAGATCTTTGTCCAGTCTTAGAAGATAGCTTAGGTATGAACAGGTTTCCATTTGCGGCTGATCGTGCGTAATTGTCCCGATGACAAGCGTGAGATTGTCTTTTTGTGCGAGTAAAGCATTTGCATATACTATAACTCTCATGTTAAAGACATACCATGCTAAACTGAATTAGGGCATCGAAAAGAGCTTTAACATAAAAATCCTTTCATTTTGAGAATTTTGTTTTTCTCTCAAGGGCCCCTCGTCTTTACAAGACATTTCTTATATTGTTTGCTTTTGAAGTGCCGGTGATTTACTGTGTTTGTTTAGTGAAAGTGTGCTAATTTCCCTAATATGTCCGTTACATATCACGTGACATATCACGTAACATATCCGTGATTTACTGTGTTTGTTTAGTGAAAGTGTGCTAATTTGTCTAATATGTCCGTAACATATCACGTGACATATCACGTATCATATCACGTAACATATCCGTGATTTACTGTGTTTGTTTAGTGAAAGTGTGTTAACTTGCCTAATATGTCCGTAACATATCACGTGACATATTACGTAACATATCACGTAACATATCACGTAACATATCACGTAACATATCCGTGATTTACTGTGTTTGTTTAGTGAAAGTGTGTTAATTTGCCTAATATGTCCGTAACATATCACGTGACATATCACGTAACATATCCGTGATTTACTGTTTGTTAAGTGAAAGTGTGCTAATTTGCCTAATATGTCCGTAACATATCACGTGACGTATTACGTAACATATCACGTAACATATCCGTGATTTACTGTGTTTGTTTAGTGAAAGTGTGTTAATTTGCCTAATATGCCCGAAGCGTTGATGAGCGGAGAGGTCAATAGAGAATGCATATTGCATGTATTGACCTGAGGGCTTTCTGTTGCTACCATCAGAAAGACTCAATTCGGTTGACTTGAATCTTAACAGAGCGTCACTGCAATCCGAACCCGTGCCAAAATGGAGCCACGTGTAACGAGGTAAAGGACGGTTATGAATGCATGTGCACTCCTGGTTTCAAAGGAACTGATTGCGAAGGTAGGAATGTTTCTCTTTTGACGATGAAGTATACACGGCTTTGTTGTCAGGCACATTAGTTTAGAACGTCCAAAATGGCTTTAGCAGTCTTATTCATGTTGTTAATTAACATTTTATCTCACAAGGATTACATCTGGTTCACTTACCTTTAACCTCTTTAAATGCTTTGTTGATCAAAGTACACTGTTTCTGAGTGCTGCTGATAACTCTTGGCTGATGACTTTTCCTTTTGTTATCTCAGAGGAGAACAAGTGCCATCCGAATCCCTGTCGTAATGGCGGAATCTGCACAGAAGCTAATGGCGCTTACATTTGCACCTGTATGGAAGGATACAAGGGAATGAACTGCGAAGGTTCTATTCACTCTTTGATCAACTCATATTTCATGCGCTTTTGTTTTTGTTTTTTTTTTTTACTTTTTTCATTTTATTGAATCTCATCAAATAAGGAAACGCTTGAGAATAGATGCAATTACTAGTTCTTCGTATATATGCTCCGATTCAACTCCACAACAAGGATTTTCAGACGCACATTTAATGCATTGTGGGCCTTCCGCTAGGGATCCGCAGTGACGCGGTTAACAAATCCCATAATGCAGCTGGTGGATTTCAGAATTGCGGTATCACGCGATCACAAAATTTGAAACATTTTTTTTTTCCTGTTTTCTTTCCTAGCCAAGGGTTTTGCGTCATATCTAATATAGGTGCTTACGTCACTAAATGAATTTTAGGACCCGGGGATTATGGACAAATTTAAGGTTCCTTTTTTACTTGAAGCTTAATGAAACTTATGCATGACGACTCTTTTCCGTGGGAATTACTTTACTAGCTTGACGAGCAATTTTGATATAGCATCTCATCGCGTCTGTGGAGGCGC